GGCCTTAGCGTGCGGAGAATACCAAAGCATAGACAACAAAAGCAAGCTGGGACCACACCAAACTAAACAAATCCTGTACATGAAACCAAACTGTGCGTCAAAGGAAGTGGCCAGCAGACCCAAGAACTGGGGAAAACACTGGCAAACAAGCTCCGAAGGGTTGATAGATAAACCACTGAAGAGAGGTCAAAAACTCAGTCGCAAAAAAAGAAGTGAAATAAACTGATTTTATTTTTCGTGTTTTCTGTTATTTTGTTTTATTGCTTTTGAGGTCACACCGGCAACGCTCAGGGGTTACTCCCGGCTCTGCGCTCAGGAATTACTCCTGGAGGTGCTGGGTCCATATGGGATTCCGAGGATCGAACCTGGGTCAGCCAACTGCAAGGCAAACACCCTGCCTGCTGTACTATCGCTCAGGCCCCTCATATGCCAGACTCCCAGGGCACAGCCGATCACCTTTGTGCGGGTGGAGGATTTATCCCTTCCAGGACCATCTCTACACCTAATCCCTTCCACTAACTCTTCCCCAGACATGATGTGCGTCTCTCTGGGCAAGAGCCATCTGGATCAGTCAGTGAAAGGTGGAGTGTGAACAGCTGAGAGCTTCTCTGTGTATTGTTCTTTGAATTCTCTTTGCAGCCAGTTTTAACCCTCTCCTGGCTCCATCCTGAATGAGTGCACTGAATGCATGTTTACTTTGAAAACGGACTCTCTCCATCTGTGAGTTACCTTCCAGCAGTCCTAATCCCGTCTTTGTTTCCATCCCCCCACCCCTCCCTGTTCATCTTTTTAAGCTTTTGTACCCGGTCACAGGAGGGTCATGGGTGGAGGGGGGGGGCTGCATTAAGAACCCCCCCCTGCATTGAGAGTTTACTGGGAACAATAGTCTTAGGACACACACTGGCAATCAAACAGGAGGGATGCCAACACTGCCATGACCCATTACGTGAACCAGATAAGCTCTTGGCTCTGCTGGCACCAAATCTTCCCGAAGCTTGCAGGAATCAGGCAAGTGTTGATTATATAATCTGCTAAAAGACAGGCCAGTGGGGCTGGAGCGATAGCACAGCGGGTAGAGCGTTTGCCTTGCACGTGGCTGACCCGGGTTTGATACCCAGCATCCCATATGGTTCCCTGAGCACCGCCAGGAGTAACTCCTGAGTGTAGAGCCAGGAGTAACCCCTGTGCATTGCCGGCTGTGACCCAAAAAGCAAAAAAAAAAAAAAAAAAAAAAAAAAAAAAGACAGGCCAGTAACCTAAAAAAAAAAAAGTGTAACAGAGGTTTTGAAAAACACACACAAGGGGCTGGAGCGATAGCACAGCAGGTAGGGCGTTTGCCTTGCACGTGGCCGACCCAGGTTCGATTCCCAGCATCCCATATGGTCCCCTGAACACCACCAGGGGTAATTCCTGAGTGCAGAACCAGGAGTAACCCCTGTGCACCACTGGGTATGACCCAAAAAGCAAAAATAATAATAATAAATAATTATTAATATTAAAAAAACACATACAAAACTTTTAACTGTATGTAGTGGCTGAAGCATGTACTAGGTGGGAGGGAAAAAAAAGGTGAATAGCATTTTCAAAGTCTGGGAAACCGTATTCATTCAAACCAAATTTTTATTTTTTTAATGTGATAGTCATTTAATTTCCACATTAAGAAGAACCAACAGTTCTGTGACTCATTCACATGATTCTCTATGTACACATAAGCACAACTATATATATAAAAAAAGCTTTAATAATGAAACTTGTTTACAGTTGCAACTTTTTAAGCCTATTTAAAAAAAATTTTTTTTTAAATCTCCAAGGCAGAATTTCTTTGGAATCTGGCTCTTCATGAAGAAAATTAAAAGCCTGAAGAAGTCAGAGTATTTTTCAGATGCCTACTATGTAATGCTCCGTGTTTCTTTAATCATTAACACGCCGTGGGTTAGTGTGGCACCGAGAGCTGTCTCCAAATGCTTCGGTCTTTAAAAAAGTTGACTTTCAGCCTTTGAAAGGTTGAAAGGACCAAGGTCCCTTCAGCTATCTTCATTGCCAAGTATGAGTCACTACTAAGCGTCTCAGTGACGACCCCCCAAGTCTGAGCCCAGACAACTCAAGCAAACTTCAAAAATCGTGCATCCCTTGGGCGCTTGAACTGCAGTTGGCGTTTCAAACTTTGTTCTTTTCATTTCCAATTCAAATGCATCATGCCAGTCCCTTCTCTCGTTACATGGGAAATCCCATGTGTATCTTCTGACGATTCCCTGTGAGCGTCTTCCCTTCCCTCGCTGCCCTTAAAAGTCTGCCTCTGCTTTGTGGCACTTTGATTGCCGTGTGTCTTGGTGTTAAGGGCTGGAGCGATAGCACAGCGGTGGGGCATTTGTCTTGCATCCAGCTGGTGTGGTCAGTCAGGTTCAATTCCTCCACCCCCTCGGAGAGCCTGGCAAGCTACCGAGAGTATCTCGCCCACATGGCAAAGCCTGGCAAGCTCCCCGTGACATATTCAATATGCCAAAAACCAGTGACAAGCCTCACAATTTGTTGTGAGATGTTACTAGTCCCCACTCGAGTAAATCGTTGAACAATGGGATGACAGTGTCTTGGAACTGCAGGTGTCCTGGGTCGGGAAGTGTCTCCCACTCAGATTGGGGTGGGGGGCGGGGCTGGGGTCTCGGCTCCTTTTCCTTCCTACGCCAGCCCAAGCTTGCCGCCTTTCCTCTCCTTCCAGAATCCGAACCATGTTCCCCTAATGGTGTACCGGCACCTCCTATGTTGCCTTCGTTGAAAATCGTTTATCTTCTTCTTCTTGGACCAATGAACAAACACAGAAAACATTCTAGTAGCGGATTTTAATAAGCAAGTACAATATCCTTGACAATGGCTCCCTGCATAGGGATTTCCCCACCGCCCTCTCTTTGTGGGGAGGATGAAAGGAACTTTGTCCAACCAACATTCCCTCGCCAGAACTTTCTCTCTCTCTCCCCGGCCCTGCGCGGGAGGCTGGCGGTTCCCTCGCACATGGATGGAGGAGCAGAATGTGAGCGGGAGGACTGTGAGTTCTCCCAACTCCTTCAGAACGATGGAAGCTTCCCGGGAACATGCTCAGAGTCTCGGGGTGCTACTTCCGCTGTACTGAGGGAACGGGAAACCGTTGGAACTGCACGAGGAAGCGTGGCAGCTGGCTTGAGTTCGCGCCTTCAAACGTCTGTGGAGCGAGCGAAAGCTGTGGCCGTACCCCGCGCTCTCGGAAGACCACGGGCAGAGACTTGAGAGAGGAAACAGGAATCTGGGGGATGTAGGAGATGGGAATCGCCCCTAAGTGGCCCGCGCCTGTGTGTTCCTTACTGGCTCTGATGAACCGCGCCAGGGAGGCCGAGCACTGAAGCCAGAGTCCCAGGCTTGGGGGTGAAGATGGAGCACACGGAGATTCAGAGAGCAGGCCATCGGGAAGGCCCCCACAAACTTCACTCTCCTCTCTCTCCCATCTCTCTCTCTCTCTCTCTCTCTCTCTCTCTCTCTCTCTCTCTCTCTCTCTCTCTCTCTCTCTCTCACACACACACACACACACACCCAGCCCTGTTCTTCCTCTGTCCTGTGTGGCGCGACCGTTTTCAAACTTGGCAGCCGCTGAGAAAGGAGACCGTGCCTTCGACAGCCCCGTCCCTCGATTGCTCTGACCCGACAGCCCCAACAGGAACAAGCTGCAGGGAAGGTGGGCCTCTGCGTCTCAGGTCCGGGAGCAGGGCCGTGAGGTCAGAGAGCAAAGGCGCAGATGCAATGTGGCCCCCGAGCACTGAGCCAGGAGTCACCCCCACCCCCCACCCAGAGCACCTCCAGGTGTCCCTCCCGCCGGGAATACGAAGAAGAGGAAGTTGGTGGGTGCGTGTGTCTTGGAGACAGAGGCTCTGAGCTGAGCTCTACTCGGCAGCCGCCGCGGCGGAGGTCGGGGGCAGAGGTGGCACCTGGCTCTCTGCGACCCTGCCTTTGGCTGCCAGTCGGGGGGATGCCCGGCACCCCCCGTACCCCGCACTCCCCGCTCCAGGACACACTTCGGGTACGCACACGGTCTGTCTGTCTGTCCTCTGAGGACAGCGGCCGTACTTGGCATTTGATCGCCTGGGCCCCCAACCTCGGCTCTGACCGTGGCTCTGCTCCGGGGTGAGTCTCCATCCGGGCCTGGCTGCACTGACCGGTGAAACAGGCAAGACTGGCCTTCGGGTGGGGGGCTGGGCGGGGACCCGGATCTAGTTCCCGCCATGGGAAGCCCCAGCTTGACCGCCCCTGAGGTCAGCCCCCGCCGCAGTCACCTGCGTTCCCAGCTGAACGCCCACCCCTGCCCCGGCCACATGCTCCTGGCCACGCCATGCACTGAGCCCCCTCAGCACCCAGCAGCCGGGGGCATGCTCTCCTGCCCGGGGCCCTACAGCTGGGCTTCCCCCGAGGCCTCCTGCTCCGAGACTCGGGGGGATGATGAGAGACGCCCCCTGCATCGCCCTCATCCCCTCCTGGGCAGTGGCCACCCCCATGTCCAAAGAGCGGCAGGCCAGGCCCGCCCCAGCAGGAGGAGGCAGCAGGCTGCAGAGAGGGCAGGAGGGAGGTCAGAGGTCAAAAACGTCCAGCCCCTGGGCCCCAGGGGCCCCGGTTATGGCACAGGTCAGCCCCAGCTGATCCCCCCGCCCAGCTCCCAGATCACCCCAACTGACCGTGACCTGGGGACAAGTGGCCCTCGGAGATCAGGAGACCCCCGAGGCTCCCGTGCGTGGTCGGACCGTTGGCCCTTAATAAAAATCCGCCTCAGCCTCGAGGGCGCGTCCCCCCTTCCGTGTGGGCTCCGCGTCCTGGGGGCGGTCCCTCAGCCGGGCGCGAGGTTCAAGGCTCTTTCTTTATTCAGTGAGGCTCGGGACAGGAGTGGGGGGCACGCTGGCGGGAGGGGGGTCCTCGATGGGGGAATATAAGTTAAGAGACTGTCCAGGAGGGAAAATTAAAAAAAAAAAAACGCACACAGGGGGTCGCCGCCCCAAACCTCGCGCGGAGGAGGTCCCGGATGCAGCATCCGGGCGGAAGGCTGGAGAGGTCCCGCCCCCGGAGCGGGCACCCAGGGTCCGACGGGCACCCTCCAGGGACGCGTCCCGGCTTCAGGAGTAGAACTTGCTGTTGCTCACTCTCTTCTCTCGCAACCTGCAACGGAAGATCCCGTCAGCCGGGGGGCTGGAGCAAGAGCACAGAGGGGAGGGCGTTTGCCTTGCATGCGGCCAACCTGGGTTCGACTCCCAGCATCCCATATGATCCCCTGAGCACCGCCAGGGGTAATTCCTGAGTGCGGAGCCAGGAGGAACCCCTGTGCATCGCCAGGTGTGACCCAAAAAGCAAAATCAAAAAAAAAAAAAACAAGATCCCGTCAGCCGGGCCCCGGGGGGCCTCACACCCACCCCTGCCCCAGGAGAGCCGAGCCAAGCAGCCCTCTCCTGGCCGAGGCTCTGTTCCCTCGAATGAGGGCGGGGAGGGGACTCGCCATGACTCAGAGAAGACAGGAAAGAGGATGAAGGTGGGCAGGGAGCCCGGGATGGGGGCAGCCCACGTGGGGCCCTTACTGGCTCCCTGTTTGTTAGAGCACGAAGCCGGGCGTGTCGGACGCTGGCACCCCGGGCCCCCGGGACACCATCAGGGGCTGGCACGGGACGGTGCCCAGCCCGGGGTGGATGGAGGGAGCACGGGGCATGTGCGCGCAGGGCGCGGCCGAGCGCTGGGGTGGTGGGTGCGGCCCACCCACCTGCGGTTGCACTTCTCCTGGTACAGGTGCAGCTGGTTCTCGTTGACGTGGAACTCCCTGACCAAGGCGTCCCGCGTGGCGCCGCGCAGGTTCTGCTGCGTGTCGTAGAGGAAGAGCTGGTTGTTGAGTTCCTCCTGGCGTCTGCGCAGCTGCCGGCACGACGTGTACAGCTCCTCCTCGCTCTCCTGCGGGCACACGGCGGCGTGAGCGGGCACACGGCCCGCCCGGGCCCTCGGGAAGCCGGCAGGGCCCCGGGAGACGCGGGCCCCCAATGGGCGAGGTACCTCGGGGGGGCTCATTGTCTAAGCCGGAGTCACAGGCGCCCAGCCCGCCGACGCCCTATAATGCCCGCCGATGCCCTTCCCTTCCCCCCCAACGCCCTTCCCTTCCCCCCATGCCCCTCCCTGCCCGCCGATCCCTTTCCTTAGCCAAGTCTATCTTGCCCAGGGCCTCTGGCCGTGGGACAGGGCAGGTGACAGTGAGCAGTCGAATGGGGACACAAAGGGACACCGGAGGAGCTGCCCGATCTAGACGCATTTCCCGCCCACATCCTACAAAGCCCACCATCACATGGCCGGAATGGAGCCACGCTCCTGGAGGGCTGCCTGGCCCATGGCCCGCCAACGCTGCTACAGGCATCCAAATGGCCTTTGGCGGAACGAAGCTTCCCTGCCCCTGCTGGGAGGCCAGGCGAGTGCCCGGGGCGGGCCCAGTGGCTGCCGGGACCCTCGTGGTCTGAGCCCTCGCGCCCCGGTGCCTCCCACCCAGGAGTTGGGCTCCCGCCGTCCAGGGCCCAGAACACAGCACATGACCCAGCTCACCTGTGGGAACGGGCCCCAAGGGCAACTCCTGGCAAAGCACGTGTGGGGGGGGTCTGGGGAGGGGCAGGTGGGAGCACTCAGCGCTGGGGGGGCAGCAGCGAAGGGAGGGAAGGGGAAAAACAGACACACAGGCCTGGGCTGAGCCCCCCACCCACACACACACATATACACGCGCACACACACACACACACACACACACACATCACTGCACACACAGCGCTAGGCTGAGGCCAGCATTCCCCCACAATACACACACACACACACACATACACACACACACCACTGCACACACAGCACTGAGCTGAGGCCACGCCCCCGCGATACACACACACACACACACACCACTGCACACACAGCGCTGGGCTGAGGCCACCCCCCTACGATACACACACACACACACACCACTGCACACACAGCACTGGGCTGAGGTCACCCATCCCCCGCGATACACACACACACACACACACACACACGCCGCTGCACACACAGCACTGAGCTGAGGCCACGCCCCCACAATACATACACACACACACACACACACCACTGCACACACAGCACTGGGCTGAGGTCACCCATCCCCCGCGATACACACACGCACACACACACACATACACACATGCCACTGCAGAAACAGCACTGGGCTGAGGCCAACCCCCCCACCCCCCACCCCCCCCTGCGATACACACACACACACACAGCACTGGGCTGAGGCCAGCATCCCCCACTGAACGTACAGCATCATCCCCTGCACGTACAGCAGTGGTCTGAGATTGGTATTACACACACACACACACACTCGTGGCCTCTTGGCCCGCCACTGCCCAGGGGAGCTTTCTCAGCACCAACACCCGCCGCCTCCCTTCCGTGCCAGGCTCGGAGGCTTGCAGGCCGGTCCGGGTGTCTCGGTCTTTCTCTCATTTGGCCCTTCTGTCACGTTTCCTCCCAGGGGCCCCTCGTCTCCCGCTGTGCCCCCCACTGAGGCGTCTCTCAGCCTGGGCCCCTGTGGCCCTCCCCCAGGGCATTCCAAGGGGGTCACAGGTGAGATGACATAATGGAGGGACCATGGGACAGGACTAGGGGCCGGGGAGGGAACGAGGTGGGAAGGGCCACAGTCGGGGACAGAGGGTGAGACCGCCGTGTCCTGAGCACCCTGGGGCGCCCCAAGTCTGTAGGCTGCGCTAGCCGTTAGACCGGAGGGATGGGGGACTGTCACTCTGTCACTGTGTCACTTGTCACCTCCGCCTGCCTCTTTTCACATTTCCTCTCTGCCCTGGTGTCCTGCTGATTCCGCAGACTGTCTCTCTGCTTCCCTCCTCGCCTGCACGGCCAGGGTTAGAGTCAAAAGATTTCAGCCTCTTTGATGCTGGAAGAATTCGCAGGCATCAAATATTTTTAAAAACCCTTTTCATATTTTGCCTCGCTGTGTTCAAAGCCGACGCTCCAGCATTTCTCATTTGAGATTCTTTGCTCCCTCCGGCCAGTTTGGCTCAGAAAGCCCGAACGCGGAATTAATAACAATGTTTTCCTAGCTCAGTCTTTGAGCTTGCACTAGCAGTTTTACTTTAAAAGAATCAAGATTTCTTTTCTAATAACATTTCCAGAATTCTGACTTTTATTTTTAATGATTCTTAGATGCCCTTGATTAAGAGACGGTTTGTTCTTATTAAAATGTATGCATTCATTCATTTTTTTCTGTTACCAAAAAAAACCCCTATATATTCTAAGCTGGTGATACGATCTGCAGTAGAGCACCCCCACCCCCCAAAAAAAAACGAGTTTTCCAAATTATTTTCAGATTCATGAGTTGAATTCTCTTGCTTTCACATTTGTTCATTATAGTAACATAATTTCCCTTGCATGCTTGGAAGTTCCAATGCGTGAGATCATCTGGAAAGGGAAGACTTCTCCCCGCCCCTGAATTTATATGCTGTGGTTTCCCTCCAGGGATGTTCTAAAGGGCTCTCTGCGGGCAGGACCAGCAAAGTGTCTGGCGTCCATCGGTGGGGTGCCAGATTCCCCAGTGACACTACCTACCCTGCCTGGACTCACTTAAAAAAAAAAATTTAGGCAAAAGTGAACATTTACAGGCTGGACAGATAGTACAATGGGCAGGGCGCCTGCCTCGCGTGAGGTCAGTCCGGGTTCGATTCCCGGCATCCCAGATGGTCCCCCAAGCACCAGCAGGAGTAATTCCTGAGCACAGAGCCAGGAATAAGCCCCGAGTGTCTCCAGGTATGGTCCCAAAACAGAAACAACAAAGGAAACGTGTATGTAACATGAGACAATAAACTTTTTTTTTTTTTTGGCATTTTGGGTCACACCTGGCGATGCACAGGGGTTACCCCTGGCTCTGCACTCAGGAGTTACTCCCGGCGGTGCTCAGGGGACCATATGGGATGCTGGGAATCGAACCCGGGTCGGCCGTGTGCAAGGCAAACGCCCTACCCTCTGTGCTATCTCTCCAGCCCCAATAATAAACCATTCCTAATTAAATTTCTTAAAGAAAGTGCTGGGCTAGAGAGAGCGCAGGGCTGCGTGCCTGGCAGTGACCAACCCTAGTGTGATGCCTGCTACCACCTTGGGAGCCCCGAGCACAGAGTCAGGCATAGGCCCTGGGGCCCGCTGGGTGTGACCCAACCCCAATAAATAAATAAATAAATAAAGAGTTCAGTGAAGATTAGAACCCAGAGGCGCGCAGGTCTAAGCAGTATCAGAGGTCTAGGTGGGAAATAAGTCTGCAAAGATCTCGCCTGAGAACGTCCTACTGGCTCTTCCATTTGGGGGGGCTTTTGTTTTTTTGTGCTTAGGCCACCCCTGGCTGTGCTCAGGGCTTCCTCCTGGTGGGGCGCAGGGGACCCTCTGCAGGAATTGAGCACGGGTCGGCCACAGGTGGGCGAGTGCCAGCCCACGGTCTATCTCGTCTCCTCCCATCTCCTACGTTTGCTCTGACACCCAAACACGAATTTCCAGTTCCTGTTCATCTCCTTCTTTGAGAACCTTGCAGGGCTTGCAACCCCGCCGTGTCCTCTGTCCCCGGGTAGCTTTGGGTTCCTGGGGCCACTGTGAGCCAAGACTCTGGCCAGGGGCCCAGCCACGGCACTGGGCACGGGTTCAGTGTGTCTCCCCCTACCCCGCCCGAGGCTGTTTCCAGTGTGAAGCCCGTCTCCCCTGGTCATGGGCTGGTGGGTCTCGGTGGCCGCTGCATTCGCACACAGAACTGATCGGAGCTACGCTGGGTCGTCCCGACATGGGAGCCAGACACAGCACCAAAGGGAGGCAGACGCGATCAGGAAAGATAAACAGAGAAGTGGTGAGGCTGGGGCCCAAAACGTGCACACGCACATTAAGCACAAGCAAGGGCCTGATGGCTTTGCAGGGACTCAACACAAAACCCGCAGGGAGGCCGTGAAAAGGGGGGACACGTGAAAGCCAGGATGCAGGGCCAGGCCCCAGGCCCCGAGGAGGAGGAATGGGGGGCCGGAAAGGCAAACCGAGATGGCCCAGAAAGGAAAGAATGTGTATTTGCACTTAATTGGCACAAGGCGATGTCTCCAGTGCAGAATAGGACCCACATGCTTCCTGTTAAGAACGTTATCCATTACACTCCAAGGGTCAGTCAGCCCCGCGAGAAAATGACAGTTCTGACCGGCAGCCCGGAAAGTGGCCACACGTGTGTCTCCTCTGGGCTCCAAAGCCCGGCCTGAGGCACCTCTGGAGACAGCTGGCCGGGCCTGTGTCTAATGGCCCAGTGGGGGTCTGCCTGGTGGCTCCGACCCCAGAAGCGTCAGCACATCTTGTTCCTGGCAGTCAAGCGGATCTCCGCTTATGCTGGGCTGGGGGTCTGCCCTCTTCCAAGCCCCCGTTTCTGGGAGGACGGTGGCTGACTCTGCAAACACCGGCTTCTCCTCCTCTAACCGGGCGGGACCTCCACCCACCGTCTGGCCTGCGGCGATGCCCTCTGTGGTGTGATGCTGGTCTTGCTCCCCTCATTTCCTTCACAGCAGCTGGGATGCTTCGGGGAGGACGTGCCCTGGGGTCTTCCCACTGCCCACGTGCCCACGGATGGGACCCTGCATTCTCCGGCTAGGACCCGGCCTCGGCGCGTGGCGAGGCTTGTTCCGGCCCCCTGGGCCGGGAGCCGGAAGCACTTGTCAAGGGGCCTCTGGTTTCTGTTACTGGCGATGGGGACTCAGGGACACCCGGGTGCGTCGGCCTTGCTGGTGAACCACCGTGAGCGTGTCATTGGTCCGAGGTCCTCTCGGGGGATGGAGTCAGGATATGTGCAGAGACCAGAATCTTCCAGGCTGCAGGCGGGATGGGTGGCTGGCTAATACCCCGTCTCCCATCAGACACTGATTCGGGGA